AGTTCAGGCAACCTACAGACCTCCATGAATTCCTCCTGTCTTGATCATGCCCCAGATTTTGACCTTTAATTTGTCACGTAGACCTCCAGCAAAGGTCCAATACTAGACTGGAAGGTGGAGAAAATAATTGGCTTTTTTCCCTGGCACTGATGTTAACGTTTGCTGTAGCTTCAGATGTGACAACATATGGCACTGCCTTGAGTTCTCTTATACCTACCACTGCTGGATATTTTAAGGATTATTTGTAAAAGCAGTTGACAGCAAAAGTGTGCTACTGGCAGAGTTGCCAGCGTGGTTGTGGGTTTATCATAAATGCCAAATATCAACAAGAAAATAAGTTAAAAAAAAATCTTATTTTTATTCAAACAAGTTGCTTTATAAAGTTTATGACAAGTGAAAACTAATCCAGAACTCCACATCTAAAATATTAAGAGACTCTCCAAATGCACCAAGATGAGGTCTTCCCAACTCAACCAGTTTAATGAGAAAGAGCCTGCACCAGATTTATTAAATGGCCTCTGTTGGACTGGGTGAGGAGAGAACACAGACTCCAGGACTGCAGAGCCTTCTCCCGAAAGCTCCTGGCTTCAGAGTGTGCGTCAGGGATCCAGTGAGTCCAGTTCCTCAGATCTGCGTCAGCTCTTAGGATGATGCCAAGGAGGCAGTGATGCACATGCAGCCTAGAGTACATGCTGCTTTACAGGACAAAGCCAATCCCTTGAAATTAGTTGGAAATCTCCTAGGCTTTGCAGGTGGGAGATAACGGATGGCATGTTCAGGCTTCTTAGTTGCAAAACAGGAATATTCTGCTCTAATGGAGGTGAACGCTCTTTGAGAGCAGACCCATGTAGATGCTGCTTAGTAATCCTGTCTGGAGGCGTCTACAGTTAGCCGAACAAAGGCTGGTGGGGAGGGATGTGCTTGCCTGGACAACAAGAAAACAAGACTGTCCTTCAGCAGGGAAGCCTGCGCTGGAATGTGATAGCCACTGGCTATTGGGGAAGAAAGTGCTTTCGGAAAGAAACCCTCCCCCTTCCTTGTTTTCGTAAGACTACCTAAAAAAACCCGACAAACTACTCTCAAACTACAAACCCAACTACTGCTCTTTGTAGTAGTTCGATGAAAACTCCATGCTGATGATCATTAAAAATGATCATTACAAGCACTACTTGAAATGGAAACTAGAAACAAAGGCAGGTCAATAAAATTTAAGTGCTCCAACTTTGCTTCTGTGAGTTTTTTTTTTCCCCCATATATGCTTTTCTTGCTTATAAAACTACTCTTTCAGTCTTGTGCCTTGTCCATGCCTGTTGGTGTGAAAGAGGAAATAGTGTGCTTTCATAGCACAAGCACTTGTGATATTGTTTCCTGGAGACATTTAGGCTATAGATAACTATTGCTGATATGTCTTAAGTAGTTACCATTTGGCAGCATATGACACAAAGAATGAATGGGAGAAGGAAGTAGAAGTAATACAACACTGATGGTATGAAAAGTGCAGGCTGGGATTTAATTAGAAATTGAAGCCTGATCGAAGTGCTTGGCGGTAGGCAGAAGATTCCTAACAAAAAATGTCACAGTCTGTCATGGCCTGTACTGATGGCAGTGCATAACCTCTTCCTTGGCTTGCAGAGCAGTGCAAGAAACCGTACAGTGGCTCAGCTTTTCACAGAAATGAGTCTTGACTTAAGTGGAGAGAGGAAAAGAGACTGAAACGCTCAATCCAAAGGAGACACCTGTAACATATCCCAAAACAATGCTCTCCTTGTGCTGGAATCTTTGCCTAGTAGACTTTTTCTGAAGATTTGTTGCCTTTACACTTTACCTAGCGTTGGAGGTAGCTGTGCTCTGAGCAGGGGTCGGGCCATGTGACCTGCTGGGATCCTTTCCAAACTAAATTATTCCTTGATTCTGTGAAACTGTTTGGAAACAAGGGTGACAGTTCTGGGTCTGGCACGTGGCACCGAGTCTGACTGCTCCATGTTCCCAGAAACCCATCGGTGGCTGGGCTGGCAGAGGGCTGCAGAAAGGCTCCAAGAGGAGCTGCGTGGACTTTGAGGAGCATGGCTGGTGACTGGCACTGCAAGGACTTTGAAACCCTGGACTTTCTGAACTGTGGGAGCTGAAAGCTAACTGAGACACTATTCAAAGGTGCAAGCACTTACGCATTAGCACAGAAGATGATTTCTCTTGGTCAGAAGCTCCGGACAGTGAGATTTGAATTCTACTTTAGATGGGAAAGCAGGATGTTGCTTGAGACTTGATCTCCAAAAGCAGACAGGAACAACCTGCAGAATACCAGCCTAGCTGCTGAGGGTCTTCTGTTCAACATGTACACCCATCCCCTCATAGATCTGTTTGCCAGCTGGGCTAACAAGAAGCAACCTTGCACATAAGCATATGGCATTGTGGAAAGGTCATTTCAAATATAATAAGGTTGGCAAGAGGGAGTCAGGAAGTTCAAATAAAAGGATAACGTGATGAAAGTCTCTGAAAAGCTGCAAGTTCTTAAGTGGGAAAAATATAGCGATGTTGAAGCTGTTATAGGTTGCTGCTGCCAAAAGGCACTGATGTGCTGCTTATTGCTACTCTTTGAAGCAGACAACACTGAATGGAACAAATTTTTGGGGAGTAAACACAGGTGGTCAAAGACGGATCAGTGTTGTGATACAGAGGAGTTCCTGAAATGGCACCGTAGGACTCTGTTCTTTCACCAGCTCCACATGATTCATTTGAGGGTTCAACAGGTCGCATTGATCTTCATGTGTCACAACCACAGACCTCAGCCGGTCACTTTCTGGCTTGTGCATTATCAACAGAATTACAGTTTTGCAATGGGATCTTAATTTCTCAATTCTGTTGATGTGAGAGCCAAAATCTATGCTGTTCGTAAGTTGCATTAACTCTGCAAGGCCAACAAAAATGAGGAAAAGTGTAAATAAACTAATGAGAACAGATAAGGGAATAAACTAATGAAACAGATGTGTCCTGTTTCTAGTTCTTTTGCTGACAAAAATTACAATTTTTGGAATGAATAGCATGCCTGAAGCAGAAAATGCTCTGCTAGCTCAACAGTGTCTCCTAAAAGTTGCTATTAGCCGCTGCAATTAGAAATGGAAAACATCTCCTTACCCTATAGGAAAATGTTGTGTCTACTATTGGCATGCAGCATCTCGAGACAAGAATATAAAATGTTTGCTTTAGCTATCTGCAGTAAAGCAGTTTGACTGGTCTGTCCAGCAAAGTGCTCTTCTCTTCCTGGAAACAGGAGGCAGGTACCCCTCCAGCTTGTTGCCTCTGCGGATGAATTTTAAGGAGATGGCCTACTGGTGCTTTTTAGAGCCTTTTGTGGAAATCATGATACCTGTGGAAGGAGGGGAAGTGGTCTATCATATGCTGAGTCGTGTTTGCTGAACTGTGCCCTCAGACGATCAAAACCCTTCCAAAAGTTGGTGTGACTTCTTAGGAGAAAAATGCAGCGTGGGATCTTTTCTGTTGAACCTTAGGTGGTAGGAGGTTCTTCTGCTTTAGGAGGTTGTTCTGCTTTTAGAAGTTGTATTGTTGCTGTAATATGGGTGCTCAGGTGAGGGACCCACAGGCCCAGTGTTGAGGAGGTACCGCTCCGACTGGGGTGCTGTGTGGTGGGGGAGTACTGGTGCTTCCCCAGATCCCCAAATAGACCGAGTCTTCGTGCGAACTTAGTGCAGGACTCTTCTGCATTGAAACAGCTGCCTTACATCACTTGTTCAGTGAGGTGGTCCACAATTTGAAATGGACTTTGAGTTTTGCGCATATGGTGACTCCATAGATGCTTGTGAGAAGTGTGGCCGTAGTGCACTCACATAAAATAGAGGAACAGTGCAGTTCAGCCAGCGTTGGGGTCCACCAATGTACATTCTTGTAGCTTGCTGGTTGGGTTTGCTGCTCTTCCTAGCTGTTTGGGTTTTGTTGGGCTTTTTTGTTTGGTTTGGTTTGGTTTGTTTGGTTTTGGGGTTTTTTTTTGGAAAGGTGGTACTTATAAAATGAATTCTTTCAACATGTCTTCCAGTATAAACCTCCGCACGTTTTCTTTGCCTTATCATAAATATTAAGTGAAAGAAAGTGACGATTTTAGACTATGTTACAGGTTTGTTTGCAACACCGATGTTTTTTATTAAGATCTGTTTGTTTCGTAAGAAACTATGTAGTGTATTCTAACTTCTAGGTTGCCCCAAAGCCTACCAAAGGATGTACAAACCATAACTTGTAAAATACTTCTGTTTTCCTGTATTTTGTACTTTTTCCCACCCATGTTTTCAGACTAGCAGGAAAACATGGACTTTTGTGAAGTGGTGCACCACGTGGGGGACTGAGACCTCACACTGTAGTCCTTTTCCATCTTAAGTGTCCTGAGGACATGCTGGGTGATACAGTACAGCTGATTTGGCTCTGCTCCTGGACTACTTCGCTATTCCAGGAAGAAGTTTTACAGGAATGCTGATCTTATATAAAGCACATGGCTAATTATGAAGGAATCGCTTTAGATTGGAATCTCGCAGGAACATACTGTAATTATCATTTAGATCTAAATGAATCCAAGCAGTTTTTTCTCAAATTATAATGTTCTGTTTATTAATGCATTTCTTCCACTTGGCATTCAGCCTCAGTAATGCAGCGATAGTGTGTAAAATGTGGAACAAATGACATCTCTTCTTTAAGAGAATGCCTGGCTCCCAAAACGTGATAACTTCTAATGGAAAAGGAAAGGAATGATGAGAAAGCAGCACTGACTAGATGCTAAAGCAATGTAACTCATGACTTTGGAGATACGGGGTTTTCTTCTGAACAGTCCTTTGTGTTTTTTGGTGATCCTTAGCTGTATTTTAACCTCTTAATGTATTTTAGAGTTTCCCAAGACCATAACTTGTGACTTTTCAAATGCTTGCAGATCATTGAGTAAAAGATTACATTTACAGAAGATACTGACAAAGCATCTTAAAAGTGTGTCTGTTTAATTTTAGGACAAGGAAACCTGCATGGGTGTCAACAATCAAAGTTACATATGTGAAACGGGCCACTGTTGTGGACAATCCCAGTGTTGCAACTACTACTATGAACTCTGGTGTAAGTCCTTCCGTTTTGTATGGCTTCCCTTCCTAATCTGCATGGCTCTCATACCATACTACAGGTCTGGCTTGTGTTCCGTGGGGTTTTGTATTCAGCCCTTGTTATGCATTGCCATTGCATTTCACTGCAACACAAACCAGAGTTGACCTGATATGGCAAGGGAAATAGGGTTGTTACAGTGGGCATCGCCTGCTTTTTGAGGAGTAATGGGTTGTCTTGCCACGTTCATCGCTGGAGATTTGTTGTTTGGTCTTCTCACTGATTTGGGCAATACTGAGGGTGCTCAAAATAACATTGTATGCGAGTGAGGAAACCACGCTTGAGGGAGAAATGCCGATAGGCACAACACCAGAGTTTGACACGCTCAAACAGAGAATTAATTTAGTATCTTTCATCTTATTGTTTTAGTTCTTTGCAAGAACGACAGTTTAAATCTGATTTATCTTTTTAAAGCTGTCCTTTCAGGGAGGGGGGCCAGGACGTTTATTCTCTTCAGGACACATTTTGTTTGGAGCACAGCTCCTTGGGTGGAGAGGGTTTTGGGCAAATCTTGTGGGCTGACAGTGGCTGAATACTGTGGGCTGTGAGGAACATACATTGCTCATTGCAACCCCTCTTATCTCGCCTCTTTACCAAAATCTGGGATTTAAATCTAGCCATGTTTCTAATGAGTGGTTGAGTGAATATACCTAAGTCCCTTTAGATGGCAGAAGGCAGGTCAAAGCCGTGAGCAAGACTCTGATAAAGATATATGGAAAAATGGAAAGTCGAAAGGATAGGAAAGTAAGAAATGCTGAATTTTAAAGGCAAACTTTTAAGAAGAGTTGTGCCGGTCTGATGGTGTCTTCCTTTCTTGAGGAGGAGCACAAAGGGTTGAACATTGATGTTGACATGCTCTTGTACTGCCAGGAGCCTAGGCTGAGAAGGCATGTGTGCTCCCAGAATTTGGAAATGCGGCACTCTGAACATTGTACCCCCACATTAGAGACTGGAGATATTTTCTTACCACACTCAATGGTATCTTGTAGCTTTTATGCAACTGTGCTATCTACTTAATCCCTCTGCTGTGCCCACAGTTTCACTTTCTCAAAGTAGCATGTGTTTGGAAATGTATTATACATACAAAGAGTGTCACTTAACCTGAATCCAAGGACGGAATAGCTGACACTTTATCCTTTAGTCTAGAAACATGCTTTTACTTTTCAAATTAACCAGTGAAGCATGGGGGACATGGTTGTAAATTAAACAGGACTCTAATAGACTCCTTCAAGGCACTGTGCATCAGACTGTAGTGGCTGGCTGTGTCAATATTAATGGCAGGAATTGAATGTATTGCAGACCTTTTACAGCAGCTTTATTTTCAGAAGTCTCCAAACAGTTCAAGAAACAATTCAGGACTGTGTGGGCAGCTCCAGGGACCCTAGCAGGCTGAGAAACAGGCATGAATGCGTGGCTGCCTTGGACTGCCGCGTTCAGATTGTAGCAGTCAGCAACACAGGCAGGACAGATGGCTGGAATTTGTTCGGACTACGTGGGGATGCATGGACAAAGCAGAGTGGGGAAGGTCAGACCCGGTTTTGGATTTGTGTGGGTGGGAATGTAGAGGAAGAGGCATGTATGCAAGGGCTTACAGACTCTGTGGCAAGCAGGATCTAAATTGAGCAACAGCATGGAGTACAGCTGCGCACTGGAGCTTCTTGCACGGTCACCATGTTTCTCCCATGGACATCTTGAAAGAGAGGCTTAATTGAATTGCATACAAACAATACAGTCCAAACAATAGCCCCCTGCCATTTTAATGGAATGGTTTTACTTTAACTGTCTTTGCGCTCTAAGTATGGCACAGACTTTTATACTTGGCAGCGCCTGGCTGCATCATAAAAGTTCTTGGAAGATAAAACCAGATTGTGATAGAAGGAAGCAGCATATTTCAGGCTTCTTTCTAGGGCAAGCACACAGGTCATACTGAGATCATGGAATAAACGTATTAGTGGCACACACTGCTGGATGGTTCCTCGGGAGGAATGGGTTTCTGTGTTGAGATTCGCATTCCTTCCGCATTGCAGAGAGCACCATATACCACACTGAGATGAGGGGAATAATGCAAACATGAGACCTATTCTTCTAGGCTTTCTGCAAATTCAGGAAAACATGCAACATTGATTTAAAATTGGTTAATGTTTTCAAAGGTTACTTTGCCATTATGAGTGATAGGAAAAGGTTTCTGGGATTGGGAGGGGAGACACAGGCATGTCCTTTAAATTTAAGAAAACTCATATTCTAGAGCTTGTGACCACAGCTGCAGAACTTACCTGCTGCTCCAGGAATTGTTGAATATCTTCGGTAGGTATGTGTGGTGAGGCACTCTTGAGACCTTCAAGGTGAATAGCAGTGATAGTATATGTAAATAGTCTGGAGCAGTGAATTGATGGTGTGGAGAGCAACAGCTTTACATGCTTGGGAATAAGGTAGCTTTTTAAAAGTTAATAATAACTTTTGGTTAATGAACAGTTAAGTTAGCAGCACCTTTTAAGTGTGGCTTCATGGTTGTTTTATGTTTGATTTTAACCAGTATATGCATGTACTGAAGTAGCTTTTGAGAAGTTTCTGCTCCTCTTGACCTTCTCAGACCACCAGTGATATTGTGTGCCTGAAAACAGACCTTCTTGCCAGTCCCGTTGAATTAAATCCTGGATTTATTTACCACCACAGCTTCGGGGGGAGAAGAAGCAGAGGAGGGTGGCATTTGAAATGGAAAAGAAAACTAGTCTGTCTTCACTGGACATGCCTTCTGAAATGTGATCCTGTCTTGTGGCCACTTGGAGTTTTTCCCGTAAAAAGGATCTTTTTCCCAGTTTAAGAATTGGAGGGAAGTTTGTCTTTGAAAATGGCTGATCTCAACATTTCTAGACAGCAAGTAAAGTTGCAGTAATTATAAACCAGTCCTTGAGGGTAGTGGAACAGGATGCAAAATCAAGGTATTATTTTGTTAAGGGGTGGAGTGGAGGAATGGAGAACATGATATGCCAAGCAGGTGGACAGCCTGTGTTTAAAATTAGATAACAGCCTGGTTCAGATTCCCCACCCATCTCTTATTAAAAAAAATAGTGCCATGTTGCCAAATAATAAAACTATATCCAGATTTATACATATATAGGTCTCATAGCTATATAAAGGTCTAATTAGTTCTTAGCTCAAGCTTGGTAGCTGGTAATATGGGGGGGGGAAAAGTGCAGTATGTCTTTTAATTTTCTTGGAATAGAATCATAAAAAGTAAAAGGGAAGAAGGGGCTTTACTGTTGCATTTCCTCACATAGGGAAAGGTATTTGGATGGTGGTTGCGCTGGTTCAACATTTTAGCCTAACAATTTCTTCGGGCTCCTCAGAGTGCTCACAGTCCCCAAGGGGGAGATTGTGGTCTTGGGCGAATGGCAGCAGCCGCTGGATTTTGCTTACTAACAGTTTTTATTCAGGTCTGTTATGATGTGATTGTGATTTGCTGGAGTTTTCCAATGTTGGCCTTTGTCCAGGCCTGACAGGTGTCTTACTGCATGAATGTTCCAAAATACCACTTTTCAAAATACAGGGGAGAAGGTAATCAAGGAATGCAGTTCCTGTATTTTGCAGGTTAAGAATTAAGGCTCAGACATTCTGGATTTTCCCAAGTTGAAGTGTATAATGTGGACTGAAAACCGAATCCAGATCTCCTGACATCCATCCTTGTGTCTCTCCTTGCCTCTTGAGGACCAGCATGAAATTAAACGATTCCAGAGGCTCTGAACACAGCAAGCAAAGCTGTAGAAAGTATTTTGCATGGTGTGGTTGGAAGAATAGTACGCTGTGCTTCAGGAATCGTGGAGCATGGAAACAGGCAGCTGGTCACTGTGTGCGGATGATCTCAGTTGTAGGATTTCAAAGTTAAAGGGCTTTGCTGGTCTTGGGTCATTTAGGTACTGTACAACAAACCAGCATTGGCGATGAGTGAGTATTCAGATGTTGGATGTGCCTGTTTTGCTTCATTTTGGCTGCTTTAGCAGTGATACTGAGCCCCTCTGTTTCTGAAAGAAAAAAAAAGAAGAAAAGATCTCGACTGTTTGGGCCCTAGTGGAAGGGTTGTACAGGAAAAAATGTTCTGTTTGCAGGCAGCACAGTTGATGTTTTTGCTGATTTTGAACATTTTGCTCATCTCTGAACGCTTCCCCTTGGAATCTCTAGGCAGCTCTTTTCCCCAAAAAGCGTGCTGCCAGAAAATTTTGGCAAAGATCCGCTTAGTTGCTAAAACTAAAGCAACTGCTGTACCACGTACATGTTCCAGGTCAGCTTTATAATAGGAATTCATTTCCAAGACTTTGCTGCAGTCTCCAAACTCCTCAGTCAAACATCGCATCAGTCCCGTGTTTTCTTCCTCACCCTGTGTTATCTTACCCTTCGGTATAACCACGTCCTTTTTGAGAGAGGGATTTGCCCTGTTCCTTGCTTTTCACCCAGTCTCCTACATGATTGTACTTGCTTTCTCTTTCCTAGTTGTATCAAACTTCCCCTTTGGCTGCTGTTACTCCTCAGCTGGTGCTTCAGCAAAAACCCTCCCATGACAAAGCTTAGCTGAAAGTATAGGGCAAACAAAACAGATGTCACAACCATGCAGAAACTCATGATAAATAGGGTCACTGAGGGAGTTATTTCCTGGTTTCCTTGTACTTTTTGTAGCCTAAGCCAGACAGCAAAATCATCTTAAGCTTGTTTTGGTGTGGCTCGGTAAAATTCACAAATCCAAAGGAGCAGGCAAGCTGTCTTGCATAGTCTGACTGTGCAGATGCTGACTTTTGCCCCGTGTGGCCTGCTTCCACCTGCTCTATGTTAAACAGCAAGGAAAGGCAAGAGAGCTTGCTGGTGCTGTTTCACCCCCTGCCTTCTGTACCTCCAACCCAGCTCCTCACCAAATATCCAGATCTGTTGATGCAGACTATTCTTCAGATCTTGTTCCCAGATGTTCTGGA